CTTGGCGTCCTGCCTTGCCGCCCGTTCTGCCTTTTGAGAGCGTGGCAGATGCTTTTGGAGAAGGCAATGCCTGTGGCGTCGGTGGTTGGCTCCGTGTGGGATCTACCCACTGCTTCTGGTTTTCAGAGCGCTTCACCCCAGCTGACTTTCGTTCCTTGGGCATTCCAGTCATCCAGTCAAAGATGATGCAAACCTGGACATCTCATCTTATGAGACGCTGCTGGCCCAAGGCTTTCTCTTGATCCTTCTGCTTCGGACCATTAGCGGAGGGCGTCTCGGCACTTAGTGACAATGTCGGGGCCGAGAGTGTCATCAACCGCCTGTACACCAGCAAGCAGCCTCTTGCTCTGTTTGTGCAGCGTCTGGCTATGTGGGCGTGTGCACACGCTGTTTCGCTTGCCTGCTCTCACATTTCTGGTGAGAGAAATACTGAGGCAGATGCTTTGAGCCGATGGGATGAGTCATGCCCCGTGCCTCACGACTTTGGCAAGGCGGAAAGAGTGCGTATCTCTTTGCCTTCTTTCTGGCAAGTGCAGCTTCAGCCACAGCTTTTTCCTGCAGACGCCTTCCTGCAATGGCGCTTGCCCCGACAATCAGGGCCCTGGCAATGATTTTAAAAGCCACTCAGCGCAGCCTCTTGCCAATGTTTGATTCGCATTGCTTCGCGGGCGGGTTGGGCCTTGGTGCTCAACTGGTCCTCCAGGTAGGGCGTGGTCTTTCTCAGCTCTGAGGGCAAGCCTGCCCATGCTTCTTCCTCCTGTGCTTCGGTTGCTCAAGAATGTACGCCACTTTCACACTGGGCACTCTGGATGCGGCTCCTTTTTCTTGGCAACTTGGGACTGGGAATACTGTGATCTATGTTATATATGCTTCTTACCGCTTTGCTTCTTTTGCTGAACCCAGTCCTCCATTTGAGAGGATGGGTTAAACACAGATCCCAGCTGTCTCGCCAAGAAAAAAGGAGTCACAGTCCGTCGAAGACTTCGCGTGTGTGCTGTAGCTGCTGTAGCTTTGTCTAGTGGAAGTTCACAACAAGCAATGAACGGCGGTGACTTCCCTTGTACAGCGAGTTTCCTCGGCTGAGCCTCTTTGCGTTCAACCAATTTCGAGAGACGCTTGGATTCTGTATACAGATGGCGCCTGTGAGCCTGATCAGAGTTGGGGTGGCATAGAGGCCATCTTTTTAGGCCCAACGGGTGCGTGGCTGGATTCTTTGGAGAGTCGGTCGATTCACAGGTCATGAGTGAACTGCTCAAGCAGTCTAAAAATCCGATATTTGAACTCGAGGTGGCGCCCATTTTAATTTCACTTGAACTTTGGCGGAGCATATTGCGTGGTGCGCAGTTGATATGCTTCCTGGACAATGATGGTGCAAGGCACACGTGCATCAGATGCTATGCCCACCTTGAACCGGCCAATTCTTGGGTCGAAGCGGTCGTCTCAATGGAGGCGGCCTTGTGCTTGAAGTCTTGGTGCGCCCGCGTAGGCACGTCCTCTAATATAGCGGATGGGCCAAGCCGCTTAGACTTCTCTTCAGAGTGCCTTGCTGGGGTTGTGCGTTCGAAGCCATGCCTTGACTCTCTCTTGACGGGAGGGGGGTGACAGCATGATTCGTCGAGGCATGACCCATTGCACAAAAAGAAGGCCACATTCTGATTGATTGTCTCAATTTGGAGTTATATGTCTTATATCTTATTGAGACTGATAGTGAATGATATTTGGGAAATGTTTTGATATAGTGCAAGGGAATAATGATGAGACTAAGTCTCATTGAATATTGTGTCAAGCACGGGAGGAATAAGGATATCTTGAGTATTGTTCATATCATTGATGAATGACCTAATGTCTGACCTTGGGGGCTGGATTCCGAAAATTACATTTTGGATATGCGGTATTTGATGGTGGAATAAATGCTTCGTATTTGTTGGTTGCAAGACACCATCGCAGCCTGCCTGCGCAGGACCTTATTTTCCCTAAGGGGAGGTGATTTTAAAAAAGGATGTTTTTAAAATCAAGGGCGGATGCATTCTTGATTTCATGTCATGATTTATCATGATCATGAATTTGTAAGTTTGGTGATTGCATCCACATGTCATCTTTGCGAAGCAGATTGACAGGGATTGCAATTTTGGCTCAAGGTCTTGGCTCACAGGTGAGCTCAAAGTTTTTGTCTGGGTTCTCTAGAGGCCGCTAACTGCAATCTAAAAGGCCTGAGCTCCGGTAATCCGAGGTGTGCTCAGGCACAGCGGCCCGTAGTCCCCGGTGCCTGGGGGACTGCGCATGGAACCCGGCTCACCAAGCGACAGTCCAGAGGCTTCTCAGGACAGTCCCAGCAGCTCGCCCAGCTCGCAGAGCCTGCTCAGTCGTCATTTGTACTCCGTCCAGCTTCAAGTACGAAACCTGCAGACGGAGCTGACCCGCTTGAAAGACTCAGGTGCGTTTTCAGACGACCGCCTGGAAAATCTCGAAAGCATTTCTAGGAGCCTGTGCAGCTCCGTGCAGGAGCTCTCCGCCCGTGCTGCGCACATTGAGCGTGTTCAGGCCCTTCAGGCTGCAGGTCTTCAAGCCCAGGCCGTGTCATTGTCGCGTCTTGCCAGGCGCCTTGCAAGTCTTGAGCAGGCCAATTTTTAGGTCTTTGATTTCCTTCCGACCCCTGCTCCAGTGTTCAGGCCATGGCTGCTGCTTCGAGTGCAGGGGGTTCTGGGGGTGGTCAGCAGCCGGATTTGCAGTACTTGACCCAAACAATTAATCAAGCCGTGTTCTCTTGTGCTGAAGCAGGAGTGCCTAAGTTGCCTTGGGAGGAAGGTGGCTTGGGATTGATTTTCGGCCAGGATCCTCTTGAAGCAATTTGGGGTGATAGTCCTGATAAGGTTCCCTTCCCGATTCCCGTGGCCCCAGACGCCCCGCTTGAAGTGAAAGCCCAAGCAGTCAAGAAAGCCAGGGTCTTTGATAAAGAGCAGCCGTGTTTCATCAAGTGCGTCAACTTCAGGAATCAAGCCACCGATGAGGAGCTCGAAAAGGGCAAGTGGCAGAAGGCGCTTGAGAAGTGGTATGTCCTTGTTACTCAGGACCCGACAGTCTCTTTGGTGGGTGCATCTATAGTAGGGCTGGATATGAAGGAGGGCATGCTATCGCTGCGTGAGCTTTTTGGCAAAAAGAGTCATTCCACCGTGGTCAAGCGAGGGTCCGCCTTGCTGAAGTACCTCAGGTACATGCATGAGTCTCATCCTCACAGGCCAGCCTTTCCCTTGAACAGGCATTGCACTGATCCTTCACGGAAGCAGTGAGGTTTGCGGTGCATGTGGTTGGGGTTAGTGCTGATGACGCGAGCCCAGGCAAGTTGTTTAGCCCGTGGGTAGGGTATCAGGGGCTGTTACTATCCGGGAAGGATGAGCGGCAGCCATCACTGGTCTTGACAGTCCGGCAAGTGGAGTGCCTTGAAGAATCTCTATGGGATGAAGACCTGGGATTGGTTGATAGGTACGCCTCCGAGTCATTTCTTTTCTGCCTTTTCTCTCGAAGCTGGATCAGTGACATCCGGAAAGTGCACGGATTCATGGTGGACGTGGTGGTGGAGGGAGGTTCTGCAGTTGGTTTCTTAGAGTGTGGCGCCAGGGACCACAAGACGGCCTTGCAGACTCAGGCATTGGGCTCATCAATGCCTCTCGTTGCTCCAGTCAATGGTGTGAGACAGGTTCCCTGGCGGCTGCAATTCGTAAGGATATCTGAAGAGGTAGGCCTTCCCTTCCACAGCAGAGATCCGGGTCCTCTTTTGCCGGCACCGGCGCAGGCAGGAGGTTGGACAAGCTGAGCCGTCTCCTCCACTGAGGCGGGGAGTTGGTTGAGAGCTCTACTGAGCAGAGGCAATGCTTGCGGCGATGGCGTGACTGGACACTCCCTTAAGAGCACCATGCTCGATTGGTGCGGCAAGTACGGGCTGTCGGACAAGGACCAGACTTTGTTGGGCCATCATGCATTGAAGGGGGAGTCCATGTATTCATACATGCGTGACAAGCTGGCGTCCCCTCTGCGGGCTTACGAGCAAATGCTGCAATCAGTGCGCCATGCTCTGTTCCTGCCAGACTCGACGAGGTCAGGTATGTTCAGCGCCAGACCAAGTGAGGGGTCCGAGGTGCCAGGGCGTTCCGCCAGTGACAACCTCCGAGGAGTCATTCCGGAGGAGCGTAGCGTCTTGCATCCAGGTTGCACTCCTAGCGATAGGCTGTCTGAGGCGAGAGAAGATAGGCCCACGAATCCCGTCGAAAGTGAGCACGAGCACTATGCTGCTGTAGCTGACTCACCCAAGTCTAAGGCGCAAAGCATCTTGGATGAAGTTTGGCCTCCCCATGGCGAAGAGGGAGAAGGGACACAAGAGGCCGCTGGTGTAGGCGGCAGTCCCCTTGCTGACAACACTCGTCTTCTAGTGATACTGAGTCTAGTGAGGGCGAGCCAGACTGGGTAGGGGATTTAGGCCCGGATTTGTCCAAGGTGGTCCCCCAAACGAAGGAAGCACCCGAAGACCTTGACCACTCATTCTTTTGCGGCAGGGTCCATGAAGAGTACATTCACTTGTGGAAGGAAGCACACCTCGGATTATGTGCGCATTACAGAGAGTGCATTTTTGTCTTCCAGGTTGTGCGAGGTTTGCAAGAAAAGCAAGCCTGTACGTGATGTTGGGGCTTTGGCTTCAATGCTTGATAAGGGTCTCAGGTCTCGGTGACGAAGTGTCGCGGGGCCGGGCCCTATGGCAAAGGTGTTGCCATTCGATCTGCCGAGCGGGGAGGTTCCCGGGATGGCTTCTGAGGTGCTCCGATGTTGGAGCAAAGCCTTTGCCGCTGAAAGGTTTGAGTCTTGCAAGTGTCGCAAGGGTTTGCAGCAGGCAATCTTCTAAATCGCAAGTAAAGCAGAGCTGACGCTGGAGGTCAGCGAGGTTCTTGCAACGTGTGTCTTGTATGACGTCGCGTGAGTTTTGACTCAAGCCGTGGATATTCTAGAGGGCCATGGCTGCCGCGGCAATTCCGATTTCCTTTACTGAATCCAAAGCTGCCTTCATAAAGAGGGCGCTGGAAGTAGGGCTTGTGCAAGCCGAAGTCGACCACTTGGTAGCCGCTCACGTGGACACTTTGTCCAAGCTTGCGTTCATTCTTGTTCCTCCAGGAAAGGTTCCAGAGGACGCTGCTGTAACTGGCCTCCTGCCACGCACCTCGAATGCCGGATCCGTGGCTGGCCTCAAGCGCCTCATCTTTGAGGCTCATACCCTCATAGTTTCTGAGCTCAAGCAAAGGGTCGAGAAGTCCGAGGAGAGTGCCCCGGTTTCCCTGAATGGAGCTGAGCGAGAGACTCGGCTGGAGGCTCAGAAGCTCAGGTTGGGAGGCCTCAGTTTTCAGGGCGAAGAGGAAGTCGCCCGCGATGCCTATAATCTTGTCTACGCCATGATTCAAAAGGACGATCTGGTGTGGCTGTCGCCCGAGAAATTTGGTACTCGACGGGCCGAGATTAGCGCCAAGAAGCAAGGGCGTGAGTTGATCATCGACGGGACCGGCATCGCCATCAAGGAAAAGCCGACTACCATCGCGTGCTCCTTAGCAACAGAACTAGATGTCGTGATGGCGCTTCGCAGACGCGCCTTAGCATTCGATTTGATCGGGGTCGCGTCCTTTAATGTAATCAACAAGTTCCACCAGGCCCTCGCGCAAAGGCTGCAGGAGCCCCCGCCACCGGGCCTCATTCGCGTGTCAGGCCTCAGCAGCCGCTGAGCGATCCAGTTTTGACGAAGCTGCCAAGCAAGTCTTGTCCGGTCTTCCCCTTAATGGGGTAGTCTGTGTGGAGTTGTTCGCTGGCAGCGCCAGACTCACTGCCTCATGTGGCAGCGAAAGTTTTGACTCTTTTGGGGTAGACCATGTGGTCTCTCGGGCTCCATCCTTCAATTAGACTTGAACGATCCACTATGTGTTGAGCGCTTGTGGAAAATCCTTTCCGATCCTGCTGTAAAGTACATACACTGTGCGCCCCCATGTGGGACTGCCACCAGAGCTAGAGATATCCAATTCCCCTGGAGCGCCAGCCATTTTGCGTACAGAGGCAAGGCCGCAGGGAATAGAAGGGTTAGAGGGGGTCAACGCCGTTAGGGTTGCGAAGGCGAATGCCCTCTACAGCCTAGTCCTTGACATCTGCAAGTTTTGCATCAAAAATCATAAGTATTTCTCTTGTGAACACCCGTCCAGAAGCTACCTTTGGCTGCTGCCGGAGTGGAAAGAATTCATGAACCGGGCAGATGTCCGCCAAACCTTTTTCCATCACTGTGAGTACGGGGGCGACCGACGAAAGGGCACTCGCCTGCTCCACAATATTCCTAAATTCGACAATCTCCACCGCGTCTGTTCTGGAAATCATGTCCATGCAGGCTGGGGGAGAATAAAGAACAAGTGGGCCACCTCCTTTGAGACTGCCTACCCGTGGGGCCTCTGCAAAGTCATGGCTAGCCTGTTGAAGGAACATTTCCTCTGCCTCGGTTGCCGCCCGGCTCCCACGCAGTTATCGGAAGCTCCAGCTTCAATTCCTGGGGCTAGAGCTTTCTCAGGCATGCAAAGCAGAAAGCGCCTTGCGCCCCTTGTTAGTGAGTTCGCATCTGTGCATTCGTTGTCCTGCCCCTAAACTTAGGTTACAAGCTGCCTGCGTCATGGGCCGTAGGAAAATCTGTGTCATGCACTCCGCCTATTGCATCTTTTCCTGCAGGCAGCCGCCCACATAATTCAGGGGGACAAGGACGGCCCGGTAGGACTTAGGGGCCCTAGTGGTTCTAGTGGTTTAGACCCCAGTGACCCCCCATGTGAGCCTTCGTGTCCCAAAAAGGGCATGATAGGACTTAGGGGCCATAGTGGTTCTAGTGGTTTAGACCCCAGTGACCCCCCGTGTTCACCTGACCATTCTAAGGCAAACGGCCTAGAAGGTGTAGGGCTGGACCCAGCAAAGCAGGAGGTCAAGAAAGCAATGCAGTCAGGAGACCCAGAGGCAGTGGCCATTCTTGTCAATCAGCAGGCCAAAGTTGCAGCCAAGGACCTGTCTCTTCTCCTGGACCTGTTGCCTTCGGAGAACCTCAGATGGTCCAGCACGTCAACAGCCAAATCCTTCCAAGCTGGAAGTTTCGTTCACGGTGGAGTGAGGGGCATCAGGTCCACCACTCGCAAGTTCCCGGAGTCCACCAAAGCCATATGCACTTACGTTCGGCAACTCTTTCCTGCCCTTACCTTCGGGACTGTTGGGCTGTTCCGGGATGTATGCGCGATTCCCCACCGGGACTCCAACAACGAAGCTTTCACTGACAATGCCATAGCAGCTTTGTCTTCCTTCGAAGAGGGGGATTGTGGATGGAAGATCCAGACGGGACCGTTGCCATGGACTTCCAAGGGAAGGCTGTTATGGGTGTTAAGGTTCCAGTAGATAGGCGGGGCTTTAGGTTTGATGTGCGCAGGTTGCACGCCACCTTGCCTTGGTCTGGCAGGCGGGACGTTGTGGTGGCTTACATGGCGAGAGGACCAGAGCTCTTGAGCCCGGCAGACCAATGCTCCCTGAGGCAGGCAGGCTTAGCCAAGGAAGACACAGTGACAGGATCGTCTTCCAAGAAGGAGATGGCCAAGGTGGTCATTGGCCATGCTGTCATCTTTGCTCCCGCCAGAGCTCTTGGAGGCTGTGCAGGCCATCCACAGACGAGGTGAGGGCTCAGTTGCCAAAGATAGGCCAGCTGTTCTGAGGATGTGGCTGCAGTGGGTGAGCGAGTTAGCTCCTGCCGAGGAGGAACTCAAAGCAGGTCTGCCCAGGTTTCGACGCGAAGTCCTCAAATCCAAGAGGCTGCTAGTCTTTCGCCGCATGTTGGAGGCCATCCAACACGAGGACATTTCCTTGGTGGATGACATGTCAACTGGGTTCAGCTTGACAGGCGTCCTCCCGAGGTCACACGTATTCCTCAGCAAGTTCAAGCCAGCAGGTCAGTCTGAAGCCCGCTCAGGCGAGGCGCCAAGAGGTTGAGGGATGGGCTGATGGCCACCGTGAAGCCGGCGGCGGACCCGGCTGTGGATAAAGGAGTCTTGGAAGCCACACGCAAGGAACTCGAGCGTGGATTCGTGCTGGGTCCTGTGCCACCCGGTGATGTTCCTGTGGGCGCTTCCTTGACACATAGGTTCGGGGTGATCCAGGGCCAGACCGAAGGAGGTCCTAAGGTTCGTCCGATTGACGATTACTTGGCCTCACAGGTGAACGCAACTATCACACAGGTAGAGTCGGTCCCTGTCCATTCAGTGGATGTCGTTGCCGGAATGCTTGGGGCGTGGCTGCACGAATGGTTCTGTGCGGGGCGTAAGGACGAAGGCGCCCCCAAGTGCAAAGCATGGGATCTACGTGCCGCTTACAAGCAGCTCCCTCTTTCAGATTCATCGTTTGAGATGGACAGCCACTTTGTCATATACCATGCCGAAAAAGGTTCCAGCGAGATTTACAAACAGAAGGTGTTGCCGTTCGGATCCAAGGCCAGTGTCTCGGGATTCATCAGATGTGCTTTCGCATTGTGGCGAGTAGGGGTTAGGTCTCTTCAATTAGCTTGGACGGACTATTTTGATGATTACTTGAGCACTAGTGGAGCTGTGTGCACTCGGCACACCGAATTTGTCATTTCCATGTTCTTCAAGATCTTGGGCTGGGAGTTGTCAGTGGACAAAAACTTGGATTATGATTCGATGTGCGTCATCCTGGGAGTCCAGCTTAATTTGAAGGATGCTATGTTGGGAATCGCTGTCATCGGCAACACAGAGAAGAGAAAGGCCGAGGCATTGAAAGACATAGATTCAGCTTTGGAAGCCAATGCCTTAGATCCCAGGCTTAGCGAGAAGCTGAGGGGAAGGCTGCAGTTTGCAAGCTGCCAGGTGTTTGGCAGGCGCCCCAAAGCAGCCCTGAAGCTGCTGGCTGCTCATGGGCGGCAGCGCAAGTGGGAAATGAGTGATAGCACGCGGCATGCATTACTTCAACTACGTCGGTTCCTGCTGCATGGCAAGCCTCGACCGATCCGGGCGCGTAAAGATTCCTTCGTGCACGTTTATGTAGATGCCTCTTTCGAGCCGGGCAGCCACAGTGGGTTAGGTGGCGTGGTCTACGGGCCAGGTGGTGGCGTACTGGCTTGGTTTGGCTACAAAGTTCAGGAGCGCCACCTGACCAAGCTCCTGCGTGGCAGAGATAGAGTGAGAGAAACAGTTATCTTCGAGCTGGAAGCGCTGGCTCTGGCAATCTGTCTCAGCATTTTCCACACCTTCGTGGAGCGGCGGGGTGCTGTAGTCTTTACCGATAATGATGGGGTTCTAGGTAGCTTCATCCGCGGGCACAGCGACAACGAGGTTTGTGCCGAGCTCATCGAGTACTTTGGCCAATGCGAAGAGGATCTCGAGAATGTGTGCTGGCTGGACCGGGTCCCATCAGGGTCCAACCCGGCAGATAAGCCTTCTAGAGGTGAGGAGGTCTCAGGGGTGCCGAGGATGGAAGTAGATCCTGGCTTGCTGAGGACAGTTCTGCCTGGTGTCTTTGGGTGAGCGGTCATAGGCGTCAGGGGGTGCGGGATGTACCGCTTCACCTTCTGTGTCCCTATGATTAGGTATGCCCAGGTCGATACCATATGCTCCGAAGCCCATAGACTCCCATGAGGAAAAAGAGAGGACCTGTCCGTTGGTGTGCACTGCTCAATTTGTATATTTATGTTTGATGAGATTTGAAATATTTCAAGTGAATATCGTTTTTAATCCGTGATTGATCTGAAATATTGGGATTAAATATTTCAGATTGTATGTGTGAGCCCGTCCTCCCCTGAAGAAGGGAAAATAAAAAAGGTTTCTTTCTATTTCGATTAGAAAGACTCCGCATGCTCTTCACACATCCGGCAAGTTCTCCAAAGGGCAGTTCAAGAAGCCAGGTCGAAAGGGTTGGGAGCAACTACGTCCATGGAAGCATCTGATGGGGTTGACTGGACTATTCCCAGAACACTTCTCCGATCAGCATGCAAAGAAAAACAGATTTGCTTACAAAGCTGTTTGGCAAGGTCAGGTCTTGCGTGAAGGACAGGGGGGCCTCCCGCAATGTGGGTGCCCGGCCCAACGAACTTTCCAACATGTTCTGTGTGAGTGCACGAGATTTCCGCTTCGTCATCTGTCGCCTTCAGCTTGCGTGAATGAATGAATTGGCAAGGTCTTGATACCGTCGCCATTGTGATGCTAAGCCCGCAAAAAGGACAAATTTTGAATGCCGATTTCCCCCACTCCAAAAGATGGCTTCCTGAAAGCGGGAGACGTCTTCCAGGCTACATTGGGATATCGCCATGAGGATAAAAGGGGTTCGTTCGTCCTGCTAGTGCAGAGTTTGCAAGTTTGTTGTGAAATATATAACATACACAATTCCCAGCCAGCTATTTTGAGATCCAGCGCGTGTTCCCTTGATATTTTTCCTGGAAGAAGTGTGGGGCTGGCATAGTCTCGCGCGCAGCTAGGCAAAGGTCTGATCACCTAGTCAACGTTGCTTGGTGTGATTCCGGCCAGTGCATGCAGGCGTAGCCTCCGTGATGGGCGGGGTTTTGGTGCGTACTCGTGCCAGTGCAGCGGGATCCTTCGATTTCGATTTCAAGTTTGGAGCGCTTCCAGAAAAATTGAGAAATATACATTTTTGAAATTACATGTGAATTTGTATGACAGGGATGACCACTTGTTATTCCACGTCCAAAAGCAGAATTTTCAACCTGGGTTTTGGTTTTGAAGCATGATTTAGTTTTTAATTTGCTGTTTCAAACCATTTTTCCCAATCAGAGCAGCATATGGCATTTAACAGATATGTTTTGTGCTCACATGGAACATGCATCCCATAGGAGAAACATGCATCGACATTTTGCTTGAGGCGTGTGAATCTCAGATGGAACAGCTGACGTGTCAGTAAACTGCCGAATGACATCAACGGTGTTGTTTTCCCGCTATGTGTTGCATAATTTTGTGCAGGCAGGAGGAGCCTTGGGCGGCTAGCATGGCACTGTCACTGGGAATTTTTAGCTAGCTTGTGAACAACCCACAAACCTTATTTACAAGCCCAAAAGTTATCTGCGCATAATTGGGCTTGAGCAGACACGCGTACGGGTCATGACAGGCCCATGCCAAGGCTCCCGCCCTCGTTGTTACTCAGATTGTCCGCTTTGGAATCATGCGATGTTGCACGCCATGGATGTTTTGGGCTTGCAAAGCATCAGAAGAAGAGTGGCCCTGTAGTCAGTTTCGCTGAAGATAACAAGATGGCGATGTGGCAGGCGTTGCCATGTTGCGTTTCCAACATGCAGGTTAATTTTGTGAGGGTCAAAGCCGTTAGGCATTATGCATCCCGTTCAACCTTTGAAGATTTCAGAAGTCAATTGCTGCACAAGTCACAATTTGCCACCAAATTTCTTGTACATCCAGAATAATATGTTTGCGGATTCCTGATTGATGCCGGACATGGATGATACACACTGGCGTCAGTGTAGGAAATCCCTGGCACCCCTTGAAGTATGAACAGTATAGTAAAACTCCATATTGGCAGTTGGTCTCATCCTGCCGAACCAGCAACTGCATGGAGACGGGGTGTTTGGGTAAGTCGCGGGCTTGTTTTGAAAGGAGTTGGTGTGTTCTTGTGGTAAACCTTGCATGGTTTTTCTAAGTGGACCGGTGCGCCTTTTTCCAGGGCAACGGCACTGCCGGGATTCCATGGTTTGAGGGCTGCAGATGAAGATCCTTGCCCGCCGTTGGGTAGCTGTCGGACTTCAATTGACCAAGTGACGAAACACATGTTTTGTCGCCACCACATTGAAAGCATTTTGACGGTCGAGAGCAGCATGGCACCTGGAGCAGATGGCTTTGTTGACGGATCTGCTTGGCAAGTCAAAGTACGGGTGTTGTTCATGATGCCAACCCATCCCGCAGAAGAATGCCTGTATCGAATTCCCACAGTTGCTTTCAGTTGACTGCAGGTCAGTTGCCAATGTACAACTGCATCAAAACCCAATGCGTTGTCAGCTAGATGCATCCATTTGCCATCATACGGAAAACATCCGCAAAAACATTCATTGCGTTGACAGTATCTGGTGGCATAGATTTCCATACTGGCATGCCGAAGGAAAAACAGTTGCCGGAACAGCAGGACAGTTTTGTGAGTCGGACTCTTGCAAAACGGATTCTCGTTGAAGCCCTTTGGCAGGTTGTCGGCGGTGTCGGCCATGGCGGCGTCCTGGTGCGCACAGGTCCCGCACTCTCGGACGAGCTTTGTGATGTTCGGCTCGCCACCGGTGCCATGGTCAAGGATGGGGGCCTAACAGGGTGCGCTGTTATGACTTGTGTCCGTATTGGTGAAACACAATGAAACACCTAGGTCAAACTTAGCACAAGATTTTTGCGCTGCCCGCCTTGTAGTTTTCGCAGGAGATTGACGCAATGGATGGACGCCTACATTATGAGCTTGTCAGTGGTGATGGTCCTGCCATGGGCTGGGTTTCCATGAAGCTTCGCGGCAAGGCCGCTCAGCGTTAGTTTCTTCGGCTGTGACTGCGCATAGCGGTCGCTTGCAGCATCAGGACCTCCTGGTGAAGGCCGACGAGGTTGAACCGAGCCGCGCACAACGTCGGGGCCGATTCTCCGAGTGGGCATCGCAGACACAGAAGACAGAGGCACCTGCAACGAAGTTCGTTGGTTTCAGTAGCCCTTTGGAGCTGCTGGTTTCCAAGCACCTGTGGCTACAGGTGGTTGAGGAGGTCTCAACTGGCAGCGAGGTAGAGATGCCAGCTCTGGAAACCAGTGAGCACCGTTGTCCGCATCAAGCGTACAAGAGCAAGTCAGAGAGCGGACATGTTTTGACGCACAGCAGCTTCATGCTTGCCAAAGGTCTGGGGACAGCACTCCGATCATGGCAGCCCAGGCTGAAAAGGAGCCCACCGAGGCCCTGCAGAAGTGTAGGAAAAAAAAACAGATTCAGTCAACTGTTAGGCCGGTGATGTAAAGCTGGAAAATCTCGATTTTGCTTAGCGTTTTCGGAAATCAGCTGGTGATCAGATCAGTTCGTCAAGGGTTTGTGAGCAGGATTGCATACTTCGCATTCCCCATACGTCATGTACGTTGAGCAGACACTGTCGTTTAACGGTTGCGCAATGTGTTGGCAGGATGAGCGTGAAGCTTTCCGTCAGTACACCGAAAAGTTTGGCGAATGCCGGGATGGCTCCAACCCAGGCACAGCTGGAAGACCCTGCAGAAGATTGGTTGCCGGGTGGTTACCATAGCTATCAGTGGTCATTGGGGACTGTGGGCAGTCGATCTTTGACTGACATTTTCGTGATGTAGGTTCGCCGAGCGGTAGGCAACAGCGCTGATAGTTGTTTGCATTGGAGGCTACAGTCGAAAGGCCTTCCCGTGGTTCACAGGAAAGCCCCCTCAGGCCGGTGGCACTTGAAGTAAAGCTGCGTGTTTGTCTTGCAACATTTTTTTTTTCTGAGTTCGAATGCGGTGCTTTCGTGCAGGGTGAGAAGGTGTCAGCAGAGTCGCTGCAAGCAGCATTGAGCTACCGACCGACCAAGAAGCGCCTCACGAAAGTCAACCTGATTGAGGCTCATACTGCCTATAAGCCAATCTACTACCACTTGAGCAAGCTGATTGTGCTGCCATGCTGAAATGTTTCTGGCTAATGTGGAGAGGGGACGGTGTTGCGGTATGTGGGCAGGTGGATTCGGATCATGAGGAGATCCCGCTCTGCACCCGCTGCTCTATGCCTGTGGGCGAGTTCGCTTACCAGGGTCGTGAGGGCAAGGAGACTTGCGTCCACACGGAATGTATGGCACAGGCTGCCTAGCTGGGGCCAGGGGAAGCCTCCATTTCTCATAAGCGCAAGGTCACAATGATAGGAAGCAAGCAGAGGAGCAACCCAAGCTGCATCAGGTCCTCATGAAGGAAGCCCAGCGGGAAGATGAGCATCGGACGACAAGGGAGAACAACAAGAAGCTCAAGAACCGCAAGGACCTTTTGCTGGGATGTTGCTTTGCTTTTTTCACTTGCCCTGTGGCAGCCAGAAATCTTGCGTAGGTGTAGACGTGACAATTACTACCGCCGTGTATAGAAAACGAACTGATCGCTGAAAGATAATGTATTTGGAAGCATTTCTGGCAATGCCAGGGGCTACATATAGGGAATCCTGGAGAATGAAACAGAAGAGAAAATGGACAATCAAATGCAAAGGGGGGGTTCATGCCGACATTTCAAAGGAGTATAACATCGGCTGGCGCATGGACAGCGTTCCAACCAACGTTGCACTTGCAGAGCGCATGGGCTGCCGACCGGGACCACAGGGGCTCTGCTGCCTCGTGCCTCCAGCATGTCACATGATGTGTCTAACAAATAGAGTGTTTACCATGCCTACTATTGGCCAGGTCTTGGATGATGGTTCGAAAACCGTCCGTGTCGCTGCTACGTTGCTTGGCTGGAGAGTGATACAGGCAATCATGCAAGCGCTGTAGCCGGCACTCCGGATCTCATTGGCTAGCAAGCTGTCATACTTGATGTGTTCACTTTATAAAGCCAGCGTGAGATTCAGCGAGCAAAGAAGTCTGAAAGTTGGCACGTGCCCTGTTCCGTGCTGGTATTCTAACGCAGGATCTGTGGTTCAACAAGTCCTCCGCGTGAGAGCATCTTTGTTTTCGATCTTGGCTGTCGCATCTCAGTCTTGAGCCATCCGCATCTGTCAACTTGGAGTACCTCCTGCTTGCCCTCAAGGCCATGCAGTTGTTGTTTGTTGTTGTGCACTGGCCTCCCATGCAGCGGCAAGAAACGAAAAGCCCGAAGCGGTTCTTTCCATGTCCGCTCGGGCATAGCAGAGGGCATTTGCAAGGATTTTGGCCTCGACAGCAAGTTACAATACCAACCCGGACACATTTGCAATCGTGCTCCATTCTGTGCAGGTGCGGAAGTCCGCTTCTCGTGAACCTCTCTTCTCGTTGGATCCCATCGACCCTAAGAACTTGGAGAACTCGCCACAAAAGAAGGCGCCTCGTTTGCAGAGTTCTTGCGTCTCTATGTGTTTTACAGCCGCACATTGCCCAGATGCTGGAAGGTCTTTGAGCCATCCTGGTTGGCGGGCACCAGCGCTGGGGATGTCATGTTCCAGGCGGACTACTTCCTGAAGGAGCCATCTGCTCACTTCTTGCTTGTGTCACAAATGGTGCTAGCTCTCTTTTGACCTCAGGAGCTTGCGCTGGGCGAGTATTCCATGCCTGTGCTCGGCATGCTCAGTGTCTTCGACTGGTCCGAGATGGGCGACAAGGAGAAGACCTGGTCAGGCGGGACTTCCAAGCTTTGTTCCTGTTCGCATACAGCCTGGCAAGCTCAGGCCGCGAGTGGTTTGTGGTGAAGAAGGCGGAGGTCCGCATGGCTGAAGATCATACGCTCATCCCGCACGTGCGAATGGGTGTGGAGGCAGCCTGTGTGCCAATTTCAACAGGTCCACTTTGTGCCGGTTGCATTTCTCCCTCTCCGTCATGCATTGCGCTGTGCTCCGAGAGCTTTGCAGATCGAGTAGTCCTCACCCGCATTCACTGTCTGTGTTGCAATCTGCACCCTTCAGTGTAAATAGGTCTGTTCTACACGTGGTCCTGCTGGCATAAAGAGGTCCTCATGGAATGAGTGTGGCAGCCCATATACAAAAAAGTTTCTGCTGTAAGCAAAGTCTTTCACCTGCAGGCTCGCGAGCAAATTGTTACAGCCAAGGGCTTGGAGGACCCGCTTCTCAGCATCATGAGCTCTTATTCGTGCAGCCGCCATGCATCCATAGCAGACTCCTTCGAAGCTTTTTGAAATTCCCTGGCCTGACCCAACATCCCCGAATGTCCAGACCGTTGTCTAAGCTCGGGGCTTGTTTGGAGGACGCACCTGTGACGGTGCCCACCCACCCGCTCAAGAAGTTTGCAGAGGCAATGGTTCCACTAGTGCTGCGATTTAGGCACTGTTGTATGGAGAGATATCAATGGCCTTGTTGCCACAGGCCTTCACCCGCAACTTCGATCTGATTGCTGAGCGCAAGAGCGTCATCTTCCACCTGCGGGAGTTGGCAAAGGCCAGGGTGCCGGGTCTTAGGGTGACGACTCGGCATTGGCTGCTTCAGATTGGCTGAGGCATCTGTGATGGCCAAGTACCTCGTGGATTCCAAGGCTAAGATCGATCCCTCCTGGTACCGTCTCGCTGACGAGATCGTGAAGGGTGCTCCGCCTGAGCCGCACATGGAGATTCCGCAGCTCTGGAACATGCGTGGCAACTCTCGCATCAAGCTTAAGAATGGACGCCTCATTGACATGGTCACAGGCCTGGGAGATTGGAAGCCGGGCAGTGAAATGCATGTCGAAGCCATGAAGTGCTCGCGTGCCCGCAGGTGGCCAGAGCAAGCTCCAGGCCATTTATGGCGGTGTGGAGAACCTCAGCCGCATACAACCTGGCAAACACCTGCACCTTCAGCCATTCAAGGTCTCGAGGATGGGGAGGGAAGTGCGGTTTGTTATGAAAGGTTCGGCCTGGACCGGTTTGAGCTGGCGCAGCGACACGCTCTGCAGGGCCAGCCGAAGCTCGGCAGTGAAACCATGATGCGGCCTCCAGTAACTTCCATTCTGCACCTGCCTATTCTGTGTAAATTGCTCTTCTGTGTGTATTTGTGGCATCGTCCCATCACAGATCGATACATTCGCCAGTGTTGGAATTTTGTTGAAACCGCAGAGCACCACATAGTTCTATGTTTAGAACTAGATCAGGCCTTAGAGAATTCCAAGCCTCAGTAACGGTCGTGGATAGCATCGACACTGCTACAACAACCTGTGCAGTAAGATCGCTCCGGTGACCAAGGACTGGAATGCAGCTTGGTCAGTCAGGACGGGAGTCTGCAGCCAGCACTGAAGATTTGCGAACTTGGCTGTCTCATTCACTTTCCATGCCTCCCTTGTGTATAGCTTGCCTCCAGAGAGACAGCAAGTGGCCTGGGCGGATGCACCAGGACGGCCCATGTTCATGCCCCAGCGCTTCCAGCTGGGCCAGCGTGAGATGCCGCAAGGCCTGGCAGAGAGCATACTATTGACTAACAGTGGCTAAGTGCATGGTACGCGTTAATGGACACCAATGTACACCAAAGAGCTGACGGTTTTTGGGTGACGCGGGGAGCCTTGACCTGCCTACTTGCTGTGAAAGGTGTGGACCTCAACTTGGACAAGTTCTCCCTCTCGACCGAGGCTTGCTTGGGGCTGCCGGTGCAGCTTGACACATCCCAATGGCTCCCTGAAACCATGGAACCTTTGAAGTGCCACAGACATGCTGCTGTCCCTAGCAGGGGCTTCCTGTGCAGGAGCGCTTCCGGGGTCGTCTGCCGCCATGCAGCGGTGATGCCGGTTCTTTGGAAGCCCGCACAACACTGGGCAAGGCCGCAGTGAAGGGTCGAATTTTTTGGCAGTTTCCTGTACAAGCAGGGGATGATTTTTTGCCATCCAGGCCTTCTTGAGCAGCCTGCGCCAGAAGTCATGGTATCTTGGCACAGGAATTTTCCAACACTCCCAGGTAGCAAGAGAAGTGGAGTCCAAGGCCTGGCATGAAGATGGACGACCAGAAGCTGCTCCTGAGCATCTTTGACGTCCCTCAGTGCGATCGCACTGAGGAGGGCGATGCCTTTACTCCGCCAGATCCGAATCTCGAGTACATCGTCAAGGTCAAAAGCCTGGTGGGTGAGGACAGCTTCCAACAAAGTTGTAATTTGTGCGCCGTAGACAGATCCATAGAGCAGGAGCGTGGCATCCGCGATCGGCGCAGGGTCCGTTTCGCCGACAAGAACTTTGTCATGGCAGCTTAGTCGGCACGTAAGCATGCGTAGATGCAAGAACTATGGAGGCGGACCTTGCTGCCCCGAGGCGAACCCCGGATCAGAGTTCCCAAGATCTTGGACTTCCCGCTTCCAGGTGGAGCTTGAAGGGTCCGGGCCGCAGTTTGTACAGTCCCGTGGTGTGGAGTTCGAAGGTGAGGATTTGGGCTTGCCAGGCGCATCTCATACACTGCCCCGACAAAGTTTGGCTTGGTCAAGTTGGACGTTGATGAGAACTTCAAGCGAAGCATGCTCGAGGACTGCAAAGCCCGGCTTTCTGTCGGTAGCATTGCTCCCTGCTGGTTTATCACAAAACTACATACAAGTCTAAGGGAAGCTGAGGGAAAGTTTGGCAAAGCTTTGAAAGATTCACTTGTTTGGCGTCTCTTTGGATTTCATTTAGCTTATTTTGTTTCCAGATTGTTTGAAGCATTTTCTCTCCGGGAAATCAAATTTCGCGCCCCCCGGATGGACCAGACATGGAGACTGGGACGGACCAGAATCCTGCAAAAAGACAGCTGAAAGGCAGCGGCAGGAGAGCTAAGCAATGCCTTGAACCTACATTTTTTTTTGTTTATCTTTCCATCTTTTCAGCCACGATTTAAGGATAACATTTGGGGTATCAGTTACTGTGAGTCTCAAACACTGCTCGAACTTCACCCGCGCGCAACGTTGTTGCGCCTCAAGCCTTTGCAGGACGTGATTCCCAAAGCGGTGCCTGAGCATCGCGGTTGCATGCAGTCGTAGCATGTTGTAGCTGATGTGGCTGATGGCAGAAGCCATCATTTGAGAACCGCGCATGATGTCCGTCCACTCATCTCAGGTTTCATGAGGTCACCGAGGATGGAGTCGCCTTCCGCATCTACAAGCTGGGAAGCTTGGAGGTCTGACCCTTATGCCCAGTACTTCCCAGCAGGCTCAGTTCCACTATCATCTTTCCCGGCAGGTTCGAACCATTCAGGAAGTCGATGAGCCTGAGTTTGTCCATGCCAGGTCCTTAGGGACTCGGCAGTGATGAAAGTTGAAAAGGCCAGTTTTAGCAAGCTTCTAGCGGTGGCTCTGTTTTATGAATTCCTCTTACTGAGGTGGTGTTCTCCTCTCGAGCGGTCTCCTGGGAGACCAAGGGGTCCAAGCCACAGGCCCAATCTCTGGATTCTTTACATAAGAGTACTAAGAGTAATAATAGGAATAATATTAATAAACTTTAGATTTCAGCTTTGATGTTCATCTCCGACCCCGGCAGGATGTGCTGGGCAAGGAGAAGCTTAGCAGATGCCGAGTCTACGTCGAGGCTATGGAGCATGAGGCCAGGCCTTGAAAGAAAGGGTCAATTTTAGGCGTGATTTGCTGTGAGTCTTGCATGTTCAGGCTTTTCTGACTTTGTCTGCCGCAGCACTCAGGCCTGCAATAACTACTACGTGGTGCTGGAGACCCACGAGAAGAGCGTCATTGTCACTGAGCGCATGTCCGACGGATCCCTGCAGCTTGACATGACAGATTATCTTTCACTGAGTCTTTACTTTGCAGGTGGAACTGACAGGATTGACGGGGCACCATGTTGTTGTTTTGTGTGATTTGCTTACAGGTGCTGGCTTCAGAACCCGCACAATTTGGAGGATCGCAATTCCCTCGCAAAGCTGCTTTTCACGGCAGACTGCAAGGCTCCTTGGACAACACTTCTCCTGACCAGCTGGATATGCAGAATCCACACTTGCATGCTCCACTTCCGAGGATGGCCTGCGTATGGGTGACGTCAAGCAGCATTTTGAGGCCTTCCTGGAAGAGCGATGTTCAGGAATCCCATCAGTCACTATGTAGTTACGTACGGCTGCAGCTGCATCGGGGTGATTGGACCATCAGTTCTTTTGAAATTGAACCTCTGGGGTGGAATCTCCCCTACAGGCAGGAAATGGGGCAATATGTTGAAGACCGGATCCGGAAGTGGCTTGAAAAGAAGCTCCTTAAACAGTAGACTTGTTGAATTCCCGAAGCTAACATGGACTCGTTTTAATGTTTATAGGTCTTAAACTTGATCCAAAACCATAAACTCTCGATTCCTCAGACTTCCGACTGTTGAGCACGGGACCATACAGTAAGACCTCGGGTTCAAATTATTCGGACTTCGAGTACCAGTAGCAAGTATAGTAAAAGATCAGATTTGCAATTCTAGGCTCTAAATCCTAAACCCCAGCGCTGCGCTGGTCGCCAAAGAAGCCAGCAAGCCTGTTCCACGTCGAAGCCTGCATGCCCCGAGTCTGATTACTGTAGGCGATGCTCAGGAGCCCCTCATTGATGCCCCATCCAAGATGAAGGGCTAGTCTAGTTCTCTGGCAGCCGAAAAATTGCCGGCTGCCGCTGTACATGCTTTCGCATGCTTGCTCCCGTTTCTGCTTCGCCTTTGTTATCCCCTACACCTTCCCTGACGTATTCGAAATGGCATGCTCTCGCAAATCTTCCTGAATGCAAAGACTATGGTCTGAAGGACAGTAGAGGGCACTTCAACAAGTAGTTTCCTCATTACTCAGGCTGCTACATTACTGTAACTTCCTGACACCCCTTGGCAGGCTCAGCCACACGACGTTGATGGCGAGCATCGCAAACGGTATGCCAAGGACTCGCAACCGCTTTGTGGTTGACCTGCATAGCTTTAAAGATGAACTTTTGTAGCAATCGTCCTTTGCCAAGATCGCGCCTGCAGGCATTGTACGTTTACGCGACTGGCCGAAGCTTGAAGGGCAAGTGGGGAGGTCTGCCTGAAATCAACATAAAGAAGTTTTGCTTCTAGCAGAGCTGACCGGACATTGCGAGTCGGGTCAGGCAGCGCGCGCCGATACACGGCACCACCCATGAGGGGTCTTGGTGTCCAGGCAAGGCTCTAGGGTCGACAAATTTTGTCTGAATGCCGACGGGTGCAGAGTCTCGTGTGTAACGAGGCTTTGGGCCGCAGCTCAGAGTTCATGAACGCAGCTTGGCGCATTGGGGAAGGGCTTGCTAGCTTACTTGCTTTGAAGCAAGGCCTAGAAGCGTGAGTTCCTTGAGCTTCAGGTGATGTGGCTAGCCAGAAACTCCGGGCTCCGTGGCCTTTGAGATGGTGAGAGTGCTGGGTCCTTGCGGATCTGTTTTAGGCTGCTTCGGCACGCGTCCTCGTAGCGTACCTCCTGCATTGCCAGGAAGACTATAGGTGCATCTTGCAAACGGCCAGTATTATTCGTGGGAATTTCCTCTCTGGGTTGCCATATCCCTCATTCCAAACAGCCATGTAGCGTGGATGGACATTAACACCCAGAAAGAGGAGCTTGGCCCGTCTCCAGTCCAGGGCAAGGAGGCAGCCCCGTTGAGGGCGTGGTATTTTGGGACATGAACCCTAAAGCTCAACAAGCCCAAAGTTCCAGCTGCCAGTTTTGCCCTGGATCGGCCAACGTAGCAACCGAATACGTCGGTTGCAAACTCAAGGCACGTCTGAGACTTGGCCAGACACTTGCCACAGACATGGGAGGCCCATTAAAGTCATTAAAGCAACTGACTTCTTCTGCAACATGATACATTTCATGTGAGCATACATTCCAAAGAATGGGGACTTCACTTGGCTTGTATGTGGGTGTTGGCAAGTTCACTCTTCCTTCACTGAACCACAGGCAAGTTCACAACTGCTTGGGCAAAAATCAAGTTCTTGTCGCAACTGAATGCAAGAGTTGTGAAAGCTTTGAGCTGTGTGCTTCCGCTGTATGTGTCATTGCTCCTCCAGCTTTGGAGCTGTAGCAAGCAATGAAGTTGTCACAGCAAGATCGTAGGATACCTCGCCCATTTACCCTAGCCCTGACTGGTTTCATACCACAGTACTACAGACATTTCATCATGTTGCCAACCCAACTCAAGTCAAGTCTTTTACATGGCTTTGCGATGTGGGCTTCCAACCCTGCCTGCCTGGGGCACTGGGTGCCATGGCCCTCAGCCGTCGGCTTACGTGGTCAAGGGCCGTTGCGATGATCCTCCGAGGCTCCTTGTGTCGGGCCAAGCTCTTGAGCAGCTAGGTCACTATTACTATTACTATTATTATTACTATTACAATTATTACTATAATCCCCAATATAACCCCAATATGCCATAGTAGTTTCCATTTTCTTGTCCATTATCCCAATAACCCTAGGTCATAGACAGCCACTGTGAGGCCGCCGCCGGCTCGACCTCGAGCAGATGGCACAAGCGGACCTTCGGCTGCTGCTCGGCAGGGATGCTGCGGGTTGAGCTTCTCTGTTTGTTTGGAGCGTGCTTCAGGTCAGGGAAGGGCCGGGCATTGGACTCAAAGTGATGTCTGTGGGTTTATGGCACTTCGGATTCGGACTACGATTGACTGACAGTGTGTTTGATGGCATTTGATGGCCAAACACATTGCAAGAGAAGCAGTTCTTCTTCCCTGGACCATGGATGAAAAACGGTAGTTTCCCAAAATTAGGGTCTCCATAATAGGATTATAGTGCTTGGGGGTCTATGTTGGGGTCCCCTTATTTAGGAAAACTACCAAATGTCCTTTAAGCAATTGCCCAGGCGATCTTCTTCGGGCTTTCCTGGGTGAAGCAACTCCAGTGCAGGAGAGCAAGCTGGTGGTCACTACATGTTACTACGGACTAAGCTCCTTAAAGGGGGTTTTATAGGGGAGCATAGAGGGATCGTGGTTATACCCCCTCCTCATAGAGGGGCTATCATAGGGGTTATTAAGGGGGATACTAGGAGTTTAGACTATGGCTCCTATGTTGCTACGGAGTGGTATGGATCATTGGGTAGCCCCTACATTGCCCTCTGCAACGGTTCCTATCTATCATCCTCTGTCCATGACCGCATGCTCGCCTCTCACAAAAGCTTGATGTTGTGCAAGACATCTTTTTGCTGGGTTGCTGTTGCGGAATTTAGATGAGGGGGCAACCCCAAATGTGGTTGAACTTCGCAGCATTTCCCGGCGGCCCCACCGAACAAGTGGGACCGCTTCCGGGCAGAGAAACGGGCACCTTCTGATGCCGGGTGGGGTGGCGGCCATGTGGCATGTTTTGAACACGGCGCAGGCTGTGTGTGCTGAGCTATGGCTATGGCGTGTTCTGGCAGAGTCTGGCAGTCCATCTGCAGCCGCAACGGGTCGGGTTACAGTAGCAGCAGTCAACTCCAATCATCGCTACATGGCCCAGGCTGGTCTGCGGATGCTGACACGCTCGACACCTCAGAAAAGGACGGACCTTCGTGCATGTTGCGCGCCTGCCCAGAGCCTCGCCTGATCCTGCCTCTCGCTTCGAAGCTTTCGTCCTCCCGCGGTGGGCGCAAGTAAGGACACACTGTTTCGCTTGAGAGCTGGCCCCCGAGCGGCGTCCACGTCGAGCATGTTTGTGCTCCCCAAACATCCGTATGGGCCAAGAGAATCACGTAATAGCGTTCATCCCCAAGAGTGTCCGCTTGCCAGAGTCCATGCCCAAAGCCGTCCCCAATCCGCAATAACATGCATGTTTTACTGCGCAGGCTTACCAGAGCATCCATGCCCAAACCATGATAACGTTTATCTTTTTCCAAGTGCCATTACCACGGCATCCATAATAACTTTCATCTTTGGATGTTCCATGCCCAAAACTACGATAACGTTCATGTTCCAGTGAGCACAAGTATCAGAACTTCCATGTCCAAGTCAGAATAACGCTTCTCCGCAGAGCATTTGTTAACCAGAGCATCCATGCCCACACCAAAACAACGCTCATCCTTCACGGAGTGCGATTACAAGAGCAATCAAGAGCAGTCATGTCCAAACCAGCATAACGTTCATCCCCGAAAGCATCCGCTTGCCAGATAAGATATCGAAGCTGTTCCACCGTGGCTGCGCAAGAAAGGCTCATGCCTCCACAAAGCAAAAACATGTGGTGCACCATCTCCTGCATACTAAGAGAACAGGAGGCACATTGGCCCAGAAGAACCTTGGTTTAGAAGCCAAGAGCGTTATCAAGCGCGTGTAGCTGTGCGAGCGTAGTATTTCGGGCATTCCAGTTTTACGCGTAAATTCTCAAGAAAGCGTGCACTGTCCACGCCAAAGACGAAGCCCTTGCAAACGCAGTTCTTCGTACAATGGACGCATTGTCTCGCAGATCTTGTCTAGTCTCCATCTTGTGGAGATTTGTTTGAAAGGCACGGAAAATCGTTACAGTTCTTTTCCTCCGAGAGCTTCAGAAGCTGGCCCTGCCAGGATTTCAGGACTCGGATTTCCGGGCACCAGCTCTCAACTTTGCCTTGTCTATTTAATTTATTATGTATTCTTGTGATGGTACGTAGTATCCTTCATTTACTTCAAGACCTTCAGCAGTGGCCCAGTTTGCAGATCTCTGTGCCAGAAGCCGCTACGCAGCGCTCCGCGCCTGGAGCGAGGCTGCCCTCGGCTTCTGGCGTGACACTACTGGGGGATATAGGTACCCATTGGAGTAATATTAGGGTGATATAGGGGTTATATATGGGGACGATGGAAAATAAAATGGAAACTACTATTTGGGGTTTAGGGTTTAGGGGCTTTTGAACATTCGAGATCCCCTTTTTGGGGCGCCATGTCATAATCAGGCATCCGAGCGGGAGATCCAGGCCTTGGCCCAGAGGAAGTTGCAGCAACTTGCCCTGACTTCTTGTGGCCAGGGTTAGAAAAGGGGTTATATAGGGGTTATACAGGGGTTATATACATTCTTCTGGCTACATCTTGCTTGTTTCGCAGAAGTGTTGGGACAAGAAGCAGGAGGCTCTTTTGAAGCGTTCTAACAAGTTGACACGGGAGGTTTGTGACCCTGGGCCTTGCACCCCCAAGCTGCGAAGTTGCTGGAGACAGAGGACCAAGCGAAGAAGCGCTATTCATCCGAGGCAATGGGCTGAGCCAGCCGCAGAGGTCCCTCGAGTTTCAGCGCTGACTGAGCGCATCACCGAAGCGGTGGCGGACCTAGAGGCCTGCGAAAGTAAAGAGGTGCTGAAACATAGTGAGGTCTGTAGGCATGGAAGAAGGAGATCCAGCAATCTAAGTGCATTTCCCAGGAGGGCCTCATTGAACGCTCATTAGAAGTTCGCATCCTTCTGCTGGCCGCCTTCTGCGCAGAACATGTGCTGCTGCTGGGGCCACCCGGTACCGCAAAAAGCCTGTTGGCTAGGCGGCTTACCCGATTTGTCGGCTCGGATGCAGTATTTTTTGAGACCTGCCTGAAGCGAGTTGAACGTTCGCCTTCATTGGACTTCACTTTTTTGCCTCCCGCTCTCTCACTGTTTTTCTTCGTGTCTCTTCCTGTCTTTCTTGTTATTTGTGTCACGCTGTTTGCACCTGGGTTTCTCGCTAGACACGGCAAAATCACATGCAGTGAATTGTGGTGAAAGCAACTGTCCAAGGAGCGACTTCTAACTCGGTTCTCAGTACCCGAAGAATTGTTTGGGCCGCTTTCCTTGAAGAGCCTGGAGCAGGACGAATATGTCCGGAAGACCTCTGGCTATCTGCCAGAGGCATCAGTTGCTTTTGTGGATGAGATCTTTAAGGCCAACTCCGCAATTCTGAACACATTGCTGTCGGTGGTCAATGAGCGAGTCTTTGACAACGGTCCTGTGCGTGTAGCCGTGCCCTTGCGATGCCTTGTCGCGGCGTCGAACGAAGCTCCGGAGTCGGAAGAGCTGGAAGCCTTGTACGACAGGCTCCTGTTTCGCTTGCTGGTTCAGCCAGTTTCAGATGCGCGGGTGGCAGACCTGGTTGCGGCAACATCCTTGAGGCCCTCAGATCCCAAAGAAGCGCAGCGGCCATTTCCGGTCAGCCTGAGCGATGCGCAGCGTGCACAGGAGCTGGCAGGCACCGTCGAGGTTCTTTCGGGCATTGTGGATGTCCTCGTGGACTGTCGGCGTTTCTTTGCAGGACTTCAGCCGCCAAGTGCAGTGTCAGATCGACGTCTGGGCCAGGCCGTGCGGATGATGCAGGTGGCAGCCTGGACCTGTGGTCGCAGCGAGGTGGAGCTCTGCGACTGTGCCCTGCTGGCCCATGTCCTCTGGAGCAACCCCGAGCACTGCAAGCAGTTCCAGCTCTTTCTGCGCAACCGCTTGGCCAGAACTCGACGCCGCCAGCTGAGCGCCATCCTTGGGGGCCTCCTGGAGCGCGTCGAGACGCTTGGCAAAACTGTGACCTTTGGAGATGGCTCTGCTATGCCATGCTATGCCGTTATGCTCTGCTCAAGGTCTGGAGCCACGGCTGCTCCGGACCTGCTGCGCGAGCTGGAGGACCCATTCCAAAGCTGATGATCATTGCTGAGGGAGTCAGGTAGCAAACAGATGCTAGCGGCAGTGAGCATTTGGATCTGATGTTGTGCTTCATCTTCTGAAATCTAGTCGTCGTTCGTGTCAGGCGTTTCGTCGAGCCATCAGCCAGGAAATCAATGGCTGCGAGAGGCTCGACTTCCTACCGATCGGTAGTTGCGACTCAAGTATGTATGTGTTAGGAAAACCACCTGGAGTCTGCCAACCACTATCAGGAATGGTCATGAAAGGAAAGGCAATACTTGCTGGGAAGTAGTAACGGTTTAGTAACGCAGTTTAAACCTCAGATCGTAGTGTCGTCGCACCACTGCGCGACACTCCCATCCACTGGCGTCCTCGCGATATCGACAGGGATAGTAGCAGCAACCTCAGCAACCAATGTAGATTCTCCATCAAGTAATTTCAGCAGGAATGGTTGCACTATTAGCAGAGGAAGTATGTTGACCAACCATGTTCTTTTGGCACGTTTCATGGCTATATATGTTTGTCCACATTGTTAGACAGCAGTTGTCTTGCTGGGTGCCTCTGTGTTTCATGAGTTCCGCTGGCAAACTTCTTGCATGAGTATGAACTTTGTTAGGGTTTTGACTGCTCTTTCTGCGAGGTTTGCTTGTCACACTGATTTTGCGCTCCAATTTTACTCTGGCCCCGAGGCAGCGATGCTTAGCAGAGGGACATCCGTGGCTGGCGCCTGAGGAGGCAGAACTAGGGGCCGTCCAAACGATTTTGGAAGTCTACCTCTCTTGGATTTTGAGTTTGTATGCTTTCCTAACAGAGCACTGTTTGGCAAGTGGGGGGTCTGTCGACGTCAACAGGCTCTGGATCATCTATTGTCAGGCTAGCTGAGTGGTCTGCGAATCAGAGAGATGAGGGCTCAGAGTCTTGAACGTTTGATTCCTCATCACCGTGCCACCTTTCCGCTCAGACCGCGGCGCTTGGTGCTTTGCTTGCGTCGGCCGTCGAAGGGCTCAGGCAGATCTGAACTGGGCATTGCTGATGTACTTCTTCATTGGCATGTTTCTTCTTGTTTTTTTACGCTCACGGAATTGCCCTGCAATCTGTTGGGCAGGACGCTCCTGGGAGATGTAGCGGCCCTGTCTGCGGCCGCTGAGCTGGGCGGAAACGTGCCTGCGGAATGGCTGAGGCGGCGTTATCCGCAGGAGGCTTTGAAGGATTCGCAGCTAAGCATTTTACGTTGGAGGCTTTGCCAGGGCCGCGGGCAGCTGAACTGGCCAAGTCCTGGTGAAGAAGAAAGGCCTGAAGCTCTAAAGCTTTAGCGCACATAGGACAAGTAAACAGGCAAAGCTGGTGACTGAAATCACCCAGTGCTCAAAGCTGCACACGATGAGTTTCTGTTATTAATCACCATCGCGTTATTGACAGGGATGATGGTGACATCGATGAGACGTTCACGGTGGGCAAGCACAAGGGCCGCCTCTTCAGTGAGGTGCATATTCATTTTGCGCATCGCCTCCTCCTTTTCCTCTTGCCTTTACTTCTCGTTTTCTTGAGTTGGTTGTATTTACGTCTTCCCTTCTGTTTCAGGGTTTGCAACCTTAGGAGTTTTTGTGTCACGACCTTCAGGAATCATCGTGCAGAATTAAATGCAGCCTCACCATTTTGGCAGTGTGCATGTCATGCATAACCATTCGGCAAAACTTGGCCGTGTTGGTAAACTTTAGTTTCACTCCGAGCGGGTATTGCACCAAGGTTGGCCAGCAACTAAACTGCTCAATTTCTCTGCAGGGCGTTTGTTGCGCCTGGGGGTCCGCTACTAAACCTTCAGGCAACAAGTTCAAGGCAGTCATGCACATGAAGCTGCTGCCCCTGCATTTGCTACTACAACCCCAATATACCGCTATATAACTTGTATAAACCCTATACAAACCCTAAATAACCCTGAGCACTAGAAACGACGCTTGAGGAACACCGCTGCTCAGCATTTTCGGCCCATGCACCTGCCTTTAGCAGGTGAGCTGCTGGGAGTTGCTCTTGAGGGTCTAACTACCAACTTTTGGGGATATAGGTGCCCTATCTACTGTACCCAGCCTAGCTACGCCCTACTGGGTCTAACTTTCCTTCTTGGTCTTCTCTGTGGTTTTGGACTTGCTCTGTGGGTTCTTAAGGCCTTCTTCGGGTTTAGTCACGACCACTTAGTTCCTGGCCAGGGGGTAGAAAACAGGGGTCTGCAGAGGCTTGCTTTGTATGGGCGAGGAGGATAGGGATATAACCCAGTTGACTTTGGACTTTGAGGGCATATCACTTAGGGTCTCCACAACCCGTCGTGCTGCGCCCCAAGCACCCGCTCCTTCTCCGAAGGTGCGGTCTGACAGCTCCTGTGCTGGCGCCTCAGCCTCGGGGCCTTCATCCTCTTCTGCCTCTCAGCCTGCATCCTCTTCAACCCCTAACCCTAGACCCGTGTCCGGCGCGCCTGGACTTGGCCCGGCCCTAGACCCTAAGAGCCCGCCTTCTTCAGCACCTTCTCCTTCTCCTGCATCCACCAAGGCGCCTGCCCCTTCTGCATTGCTCAGTCAGCTTGCCGCCACCTTCCCCGCAGTGCCTGCACGTTGGACTTCGTCTGCTTCCTCCTTACGCTCCACCGCCTGGCCCGCTCAGAAAGAGTTAAGAGAGCCTGGCTCGCGGGCTGTTGGGATAGGTCCTACCTTGAGGGGTTGATCCCTGTGCTCCAGCCCTTGCCTGCCATCCCCATTGCCAGTCGTGCCTTCGCGGTCTGCCGATCATCGAACGGCTCCCCACCTGAACTGTACACTGATAGGCACGACCTGTCCTTTGCTGTGCGGCCTGGGGCCCGGACGCCTGTTTACCGAGGTTTCCCTTCGGAGCTTGAGTGTCGGATATACTTCGACGCGTGTGGCATAGAGAACTACTTGCCTCTCCGGTGACCTCGATGGACTTCGAATCCCTTACCGCCGCGGAAGCCGGCGACATTGAGATCCTGGTGCTTGAGGCCCTGCCCGGCACCGAGCTCGAGGGCCTTGTGACCGAGTCATGTTTGTGCTACGTTGTGCTCAACTTCTTGCTTTGTGTGCCGGCCGGAGCTGTGGCCGAGCCAGCCCTGACTGCTGCCGCGGAGGAAGGCCACACTGGTCTGATTGGCCCTGCTCATCGCATCTCAGCCCGTGCCGTCTCCCTAGGCGAGACAGGAGAGTGGGTCATGAGCGATGTACCTCCTGGACTTGGAAGCCGACGCTTCCCTGGCCCTCACGCCTCTGACCGCCGGCTTGGGCGATCACTTCAGCTTCTCGGGGGACGACGCAAACGTCTAAGGCGACAGGGGTGCCTCGGGCTACGTGACAGCAGCGGAGGAGGCCGCCCTCTTCGGGGTTCCCGTCAGGTCCGGCAGTAAAGGCCTCGCGTGCCCAAGGCCAAAAGGTTCACCCTAGCCGCCCTAGCCTCTTAGTGAGTGCTTTAGCTGGAGGGCTAAGCAGGACCAACTGATAGCAGCAGCGCACGTCCCTCAGCAGGTTCCTCAGCAGGTTCAGGTCAAGGCCGCCGACACTGCGCACACCCGGCGCTCCGGAATCTTGTGTTCCAGGTTGTTCCTCCAGCTCAGGCCGTGCCAAAGCGCCTTGCAGACGTCCTGGGCCCGCCTCCCCCTGTGAGGCCTCAGGCAAGCCGGCTTTCTCAGGAGGCTCTTGTGGAGGAGGCCCTGCCGGGCATTACAGGAAAAGAGTTGCTCGGATCGGAGGACAAGGCGAGGGCCCGCTTGCGGAGGCAATGCTCCTTCTTCAGGCAAAAGCTCTGACGGCCCTGGTGAGTCAGATAAGCAGTGCCAGCTCCAACCCTCTGGCGGACCTTCAGGCCCCTTCTTCTCTGTCCACTCGGGGAACAGCAGGCAGGCAAAAGCTTCAGCTCGAACTGGCAGCCAGAGACGGCTGCTTGTTCGAGAGAGTCTACAGTGCAGCAGCCCGGCGGATGTATCCCGCCATGCGCCCGGCCTCAGCCTCGGAGCTTTGCCAAAGGAAATACCTGGAACGCTACGGAGGGTATGGCCAGCATCGCGATCTGGGGCTCATCCAATGGCAGCTCGCGCAGTCCCTAGACCTCCTGGCGATGGGAGAGGTCAAGGGAGCAGCGGACTTGACCGCGCAGTTGATGGTGATGGTGGAACAGCTTTCCCTGGATGGGAAGAGCGATCTGGCCTGGCTTCTCACGCTTCAACACGACCCGCCAGCATCAATCTTCCTAGACCACCAGGCACTTCCATCGAGCGGTTTGAGACCCTTTTCTCCGCTGGCAGATCAGAGGCTCGTGACCACCACTCTAGCGTATGTTCGGGAACTCGAGGGCCGAGTTCTCGAAAACAAAGCCTCCCCTTGCACCTCCTCCAAAGGCAAAGGCAGAGGCGTCAGAGCAGGAGGGGGAACAACCCCTCACGCGCAAGCAGCTCCGTGCCAAACTGTGGGCCGAGAAGAAAGCTGCCGGCGCCAAAGTGTAGGTCACGGTCCCGAAAGTGCAACTGCATGCCCCCCTGGAGCGGACAGTTCGGATGCTCTTCCCGATGCCTGCTTCCGCGGGAAATTAAGTTTTTTCAAGTGGGCGGCAGCGCTCCCGCGCCTGCTGCTGGCAACGCGGACCTCCTTTGCCAGGTTCCTAAAGTCTTCTTTTGCTGTTAATGCCCACCAGGAGGATCAGCCTCCTAGCACCGCCTTGTTCCCGCTTCCCGTGCCCGTGCCGGGCCTTTTTCAGAAGCGAGTCCCGAAGTCTGGCTCGCAAGCATGCCAGGTCTGACCTTCAGGCTCTTTTGCTGGACCGTGTCTTGCATGTCGTCGTCATGGCACTCAACCACCTCCATGCCGACTGCAAGCAGGTCCCCTTTGCTGCACTTCGGAGGGCTTTGTGGGGTCCAGTACAGGCTCCGTAGGATGCTCAGGCGAGTAGTCGCTATGTCGACACATTTGTCGTTGCCTCAGGCCGCCGGTCAGCTCACTTGCTTGCTCGGCGTGAGGAGCTGCCTGCCGCCGACTTTGTACCCTGGAAGCCCGATTGCCGAGAGGTTTCTCCCGCACCGCCCTGAAGGGCCACCTGAGCTCCGACCCTACCGAGATGCCGACGCCAGCAGGCTTGCAATCTCAGATACTGGTCACTGGGACCTCACTCCCTTTCTCGAGCCTGAGTTGCTGATGCCCTTCCTTGAGCCTTTGGTGCTCCGGGGCATAGCCACGAGGGATGATCCTTTCCCTGACACTTCCCGTGACAGCAGCCGTGAGGCCTTGAAGCTCTGCCAGCTTTGGGACTCCCTTGGACTCTTAAGAGAGTTCCCGGGTCCTCGCGAAGCACGTGAGCTCTGCAGAGTGTTTGGGTCGTTTAAGGATGCTACTAGGGATAGGATGATTGGTGACCGTAGGGGCCCCAATAGTCTTGAGGGGGGTGTTCTTGGCGTGTCTAAGGACCTCCCTTCCGGTGCCAGCCTCACCCAACTTCACTGTCCACGTGGACGCGTGCTCGTTGGCGCCAGCACAGACCGCTCTGATTTTTACCATCAGATCGCTGTCACTAGGAGTCGGGCCGCTACCAACTGCATCGGCCCTAGCCTCCGCCTTTCTCAGTTTAGTTGTCCGGCACCTCTGGACTTGCCGCCGGCCCTAGAGGAAGCCTCCTCTCGTGCCAGTGCTCCTCGCGACCAGCGCGGGGATGACCTTGCCCGAAGCAGTGCCTGCTTCAGGGGGCCCGACCCCGTTGTTCACGGGGCCTTCGGATCCCTGTGCCAGGGAGACCGTTGTGGAGTTGAGTATGCCACTCAGGGTCATGAAAACCTCCTTCGCAACAACGGCCTTCTTGGCGACTCTACTCGTGTTGTTGCTGCAAGACCCGCCGCGCCGGGACCACTGCATGATGCCTTAATAATCGACGATTATTTCGCCATCTCTGCTGACGAGTTGGGCCCCGCTCTGGACTTTCTGGGGACTCACTCCTCGAGGCTCTCCGCCGCTCTTCTGCCAGCCACTGCGTTCTTGCAGCAAAACAGGCCTACTCCCAAGCCTCCCTGCGAGGATCTGACGCCAAGGACAACCTCGGCGCAGTGGACTTCACCGTGGCAGGCGCGCAGTTCCTTTCTGATCTGTCCGCCGGTGCCGAGTGCAGGACCTTCGTCGGCACCCCCATTCATAAGCGCCTCTCACTTGCCTACATCTCCCTGCAGGTTGCTGCCCTGCCTGCCGTGACCGAAGAGCTCGCCTCAATGCTGGCGGGGTCTTGGGTTTCCTTTCTTCAGTTCAGGAAGTGCCTCTCCTGTGTTTTCGACACCTTTTTCCGCCTCGGACGCTCCGCCGACGGCGATGCCTCTGGGAGTTTTCTCCGGCCTTTACCCAGGAAGGCAGCAGAGGAGCTCTGTCTCCTCGCCGCACTCGCCCCAATCATCTGCTCCGACCTTAGCGTCCCCTTTGATGAGGACACCTACTGCACCGACGCCTCTCTTCCTCAGGGGGCCGTCTGTAAGACTCGCGCCGGGGCTGACCTCTCCGAGCTCCTTTGGCTCTCTGCTGGGAGGAAGGCGCCACATACAAGCATTGCCAAGACAGCCCCTGCCAAGGCCTCCGAGACGCCCCTTCGTCAGGTCAGCCAGCCGGCCGACTCTTCTGCTGAGGGCCAAGCAACTCGACAGGCCCTTGCCGAGCCCGTACTCCCCTTCGAAAGAACTAGGCACTGACTATGACTTCATCGAGGTCTACGGGGGGTCCGGGAAAGTCTCTCGACTTGTTAGTGCAGAGGGCTGGAGGGTCGGTCCTGCCATCGACCTGTCTACGAGTGAGCAGTTCGATATGAGACAGTCCCATGTCCTCGACTGGATTCTTTTCCTCCTTCTTAGGGGCCGTCTCCGCAGCCTGCTCATCGAAGTGCCTTGCACAACGTTCACCATCGCAGCTCATCCCGCTGTGAGGTCTCATGCCTCCCCTCTCGGGTTCGACCGCAAGCAGCCAAAAACCCGGCTTGGGAATCTGCTCGCCTTCCGAGCTCTGATCTTGATCTTCCTCTGTCATTCACTCGGGGTGCCATGTCTCATTGAGAATCCTCGCCGATCGAAGTTTTTCTGGCTTCCTTCGTCAAGGTTTCCCAAGAAAGCCAACACGAGCTATGACTAACTCGCTTCGTGTGCCTAGGCTCCCGCTTCAAGAAAGAGTTTGGGTTCATATCTTGTTGGGCCGATGTCGGGGCCATCCACCGCAAGTGCCCTGGAGGCCACAGCCACGTGCCTGTCCAGGGTAAAAATGCGAGGGGCAGTGCTACGTACCACGACAACGTCGCTGCTGCGCTGGCCTCCGTCCTTCACAAGGCCCTTCAGCAGGAACGCCTACCTGAGCAGTCCTCGCCCGAGGGCTTGGAGAGCCTCCTTGTCAATGACGTCCTCGCGAGTTCCTCCTGGGATGTCCTCGCCTCTTGGACTTGCCACGGCATAAACGTCCTCGAAAGTGAGAGCGCGCTGACCCTCCCCCGGTTGAACACCGGGACAAGGAGGTACGGCAACCGGTACCCCTTTCTCTCCTTGACGAGGTCACTCGTGCTGAAGCCTTCCAGGCCATCGGCTTTCAGAAGCTCTCACGCACGCGTGCCAACTGGCTCAGGCTGACTCTTCTCCTGGGGTTCTCCTCAGGGCTCTTAGGGATTATCCTGGTTACTCTAGGTATGGTTTAGTCCCTACCCGCATACCCCGTGCAGAAGCAGCCCCCCCACTTGGTTTTGACCAGACGTTGGGGTTCCCTGGTGAGGGTGTCTCGCCGCTCTAGGCCCTCGTAATGCCGCTGACCTCCAAAGGCAGCTTAGGCACCCCTCGCCCCTGGCCGCCCTGTTCAACCCGTAACCTCCTCCAATAGGCTAGGGCTTACCGCAGCTTTTTCGCAATGGCTCCTTGAAACCACTGGCGCTCCGCTTGAACTGACACTTGGGAAGGTCTTTTTTGACGCCGAGGCTTTTGTCGAGCTCCTGGTCTCGTACGGCCAAGACCTGTACAATTCTGGGCGCCCCTACTGGCATTTCAGCGAGACTGTGAATGCAGTGACTTCCCTCAAGCCTGTTTTGCGCCGACAGTGCCAAGCAGCCTGGGACCTCGACTACACGTGGTTGGCCGAGGAGCCGTCCTCTCACCACATAGCAGTACCCGCCATCGTCCTGGTCTCGATCCTCTCTGCTTGCCTCTGCTGGGGATGGGTCAGTGTTTTGGAGGGCTCTTACGCGTAGGCGAAGCCACAAAAGCGAGGAGGGCTGACCTTGTCTTCCCTGCGGACGCCCTTGGATCCCAGGATTACATCCTCATCAAGATCAACGAGCCAAAGACGAGAGGCAGGGCCGCCAGGCACCAGAGTTCACGCGTCGAAGCGTCCGACCTCGTGGCTGTCATTTCGATTGCCTTCGAGAAGCTGCCTAAGCCAGCGCCTCTCTGGCCGCACTCCGGGCAGACACTCCGAAGGCGTTTCGATCAGGTTTTGCAGAGACTCTACATACCTACAGCTCGTCGGCCTTCACGGTCATTGGACCTTGGTTCGCTGCGCCCTGGAGGGGCCACCTACCTGCTGCAGATCACTGAGGACAGCGAGTATGTCCGGCGAAAAGGACGATGGGTTTCCCAGAAGGTGATGGAAATATATATTCAAGAAGTGACCGCTTGTACCTACATTTCTGATCTACCTCTGGAGGCCCGGACTCGTGTTCTTTGCGCCGCTCAGAGTTTCTCAGCGATTCTGCAACACGCCCTCTCTTGGACGAAAGCTAAGATCCCATGCAGATGTTGGTTCCAGCTTTGGGCTCACCAGTTGTAAGCCAGGTGCGTTGATGGGGCTCATGGGGCTCTTTTCTGGATTGGCCTACAGGAAGCCTTTCCCTGTAGCCTTCGCACCTGGACAAGCAATCATGTGGTGGAAAAGAGCAGGAGTTTTTGAGCACTAGAAACGACGCTTGAGGAACACCGCTGCTCAGCATTTTCCCGCCCACCCACCCGGGGGCTCTTTTCTGGATTGGCCTACAGGAAGCCTTTCCCTGTAGCCTTCGCACCTGGACAAGCAATCATGTGGTGGAAAAGAGCAGGAGTTTCTGTGTAATGCTTTTTTCGAAGTGCTCCTTGTGCTTCCTTCTCTCGCTGCGTAAAGGCCTTGCTGTGTGGAAGTGCGTGGTCTTCTGAATTACTATGCTGAGCAGGTGGCCTCGGAGGATGAGGATTACTGCAGATTGGCCAGAACCTTACCTGATGCTTTCCGTGGGATCCTGTCAGACTAGGTGTCAACTTGGGATTTATGACGGAATGACAGACCACACCTCATAAGAAGCACATCCGCAGGCTTGCTTCGCCCCTTTGCTTTCTTTATCTTTGTGGTATGTTCTTATGCACTCTTGAGGTAAAGCGCAAGGTTGGAGAAGGAAGCTTCAGCGGGGACTCGCCGCTGGATAAGCATCTTGCCTGTCTGTTTGTGGCTCTTTGCTATACCGCATGAGTGCGCCCTGCAAGCTTCATGTTGAGGGGGCATAGGGGCCTTTGCTGATAAGATGGCATCCCAAAGACCAGCCGAGGCAAGTGACAGCCTTTGTTGCGTACCTTAATTTGCAGCGACAGGCATAAAAAGGTGATTGCTGCAGTTCCTTTCCACGCAGATTGCGTGCCTGGCCGCCTGAGCAACGCCTTTGTGATTTACTGAAAATCCTCACACATGGTTTGCGCAGCTGCTTACATCAAAGAAGCCAGCATGAAGGCTAAGGTAAGTCGAGCATAAGACACAAAGAGAAGCCGAGCATGGCCTGCAGCAAGTCCTTGGGGCAAGCTTGTCATTGAAGTAGCTCACACCTCCATGCAGAGGGGTGCCGACGGCTCCCTGAGCGTGGATTGGTCATGGAGCTGCAGCTTGGAGGAGTTTTCGATGTAGCTAACATTTATTGGTGGAGAGGCGAAGACACAGCTTGGCCAGTCAGCTGCTAGAAGTCGGGCGTAGGTGTTCTTTTTGAACTGATTCTGGGTGAGAAAAGTTTGGCAGAGCGTGCCAATCTGTAACTCGCCATGGAAGAGTGTGCTCTCTCTGCAAACAATCGTGATGTGTCCATGTTGCTGCGGTGGTGCATTGAGTTGAAAGACCACGCGAGCAATGTAACAACCTTGCAGGACTTTCGTGAGTTCGATCCAGATGTTCAGGCGCGGGAGCAAGGGAGCGATACGTTCTGCAATGGGAAGTTTCTACTGTTGACACTAACGTCCTGCACGATTTTTAACATACCAGAATAGCATAATTACACCATAATTCGCAAGGCATGAGGTACTTAAGGATCATGCAGGATGTTGAGTAGAACATCAAGACGACATGAGCGGCCATGGCAGATCGGCAGCCCTCGGTCCCTGGCAGCCTGCGATGCCCAGGGCATTTTGCCACGAGCTAGAAGCTGAGAATCTAGTGATGTCAGCAACCCAAAGCTAGTAAGAATGCGACTTTATCTAGGGGACTACTCCCACACAACTACGTATGGACCCATTTGATTGTACCTTTGATGCCAAGGAACTGACCTACAAGCCACTGGAGGTCTTCCAGCTCCCAGGCACCCGGCTGGGTTCAGGGCCATAATGCCACAGCCAGGTGGTCAGCTCGCCCGGTTAGAGTTTGTTGTATCCTTGCATCTCAAGCCCTCAGCACCCCAGGACTTGATCCACGCGTCGCTCAGCTCCGGTATGACTTCATGGAGGCCAAAAGCCTGGCTGTGATGTTGTTGCCCAGCTCTTGCACAGAGTTTGTGTGTGTCGAGCGATTGGGCCGCCAGGCGCGCCGGCAGGACTTGATCCACGCTGCCAAAGAGACGTTCGGCGGCCCAGGGTTATAACGGTTATGACGTCCAGTCCTTTAGGATGCGTGTGGTCTGGGGGCAGGTGAGAATCAATGGAAGAATTTGTTTTTCTTTTCTGAGCATGCCACTACCTTTGTGTGGGCGAGTGCAAGTTTCAGGTGCCTGCGCTCTTGACAGCTGGCAATTGTATAGCTCCCAATGTAGGTCTTGCAACAAGAAGATAACTTTACTTGGTTCAACCACAACAAGCACTGCTCGCGTGCTTGCCTCACATTGAGGCGTCAAGTTATCATGGAGCTGGCAGAAGAAGCAGACAGTGCAGGGCCCAGCAAAGCCCTGCAGCGCAGCAGCATGAGTTGTCCACAAATTGGATTTGGGTGGATCTGGCTCACAGTTGGCCAATGTGCACAATGTGCCTGACAGAACCTTGTGGCCTCAACATTGCTAGCTCCAACTTGCGACATACTGCAGAGATTAACAGTGGCTCAGATGGCCGTTATGTCCTTGTCACGCGGGCTGATTGATGCAGTTGTGGCAGGAGCTGAGAGCTCCAAAGACCGTGGAGTGGAGCCGGCAGACCTTGGGATTGCACCTAGAATCTGCATGTCATATGCACGGGGGTGACTACGTCTAGAGGCTTTCTGCAGTGCTCAGTAGAGTTCTCCCCTGGAGCCGACAGGGAAACCCCGCCTTCTTCCAAGTGTTGTGCCGCAGCAGTAAAATTGTTAGTTACATCGATGGCGTATGCAGAGCAAGCACACATAGCACACATGCTCGTTTGTTGTAGCTGAGGAATCTGGCCGTGGCATGAAAAAGGATCTTCACCAACTCCTTCAACCGTGTGGGCCCCGGTCAGGGATACCTGGACTAGCTCTGAATGCGTAGCTGCAGCCACAGATTCACAGATGTTATATAGACAGCAGCCGCCGCCACGTTTGTCAGATGAGCTCTGTCTTACTTCAATGAAGCATTCGGGTCCCAGAACAAAAGACGTGGCAAACGCGGCTGGGACACGGTCATGGCTGCCTTCCTTAGACCTTTTGCAAAGGAGTAGGCGGAAGCACAGCTAAGGCGTCCTGTTCCTGTTTTCCGACAGCCACAGGAAGAATCACGTGTCCCAAAATGATCCCTTACAACCCCTACACGATCCCTGAACATGCCAATGGTTTGTGGAGAACTGTTTTGAACCTGGGGATAGGCTCACTGCAGGGGTGGTTGGCCGCGAAGCAGCTGGGAACAAAACGTGGTGTGCAGGAAGTTCTGGCAACTGTTAGTATTGTTGCATAAGTCTGCACTTCATTACCTTCGGCACGTTGGCTCACCCACGTGATATGTTTTGGCATCTACACCCTCTCGCACAACAACAGAACACACCATGAGCGGAATGCTCCCGTGTTATGAGTTCCATTACGGCTGCCTCACACCTGAGGAACTGGGCAGAAGGTGGACCTCCAGCCCTCCACCAAGCGATGCTTTTGATCACCTGAGAAGAGATGGGAGGTTTGCATGCCATCAGGTAAGATAGTTTGCCGATACTAATGAGCATGATGGAGAGTGATAACAAGAATCTTACCAACCGCAATGATCGCAAAAGCAACAGCATCAGTGGTATAATAGTGGCAGTCCCTGTCCTTGTGACACCAATATGCCTCAATGTAAGTGATACTGACAAAATGATGCTGAGGACCCCGGCCTGGCGGGTGCTCCCACGACGTGAGATGCTGAGAGAGCTTGTGTTGCTGTGGGGCCATGAAGCATCAGATTGCAGGGCTGAAGGTGGTGAAAAGCAAAGGCCTCCTTTGCCGGAAAAATATCACGAAGGGAGCCGCGTACTCACCATTTCCTCTCTGCCACTGAGGCCGTATCCCTCTGCGCTGGGCTTCTTTCGTGAGGCGGGCATGCGGGAATCGAAGCAGATCTCTATTATACTCCCCATTAAATACACCATTATACTGTATAGTAGTTTCCATTTTCTTTTCCATCATCCCTACATAACCCCTGTATAATATAATCTCTATAGTAGTTTCCATTTTCTTTTCCATCATCCCTGTATTTCCTATTAGAATCCCTGTTAAGGGGAGGGTCCCGAAAGGCCAAGCCCTGAGCTGGGTATGCACCAGAATTATGGTAAGATAGGGATAATGGAAAAGAAGATGGAAGCTACTACAGGGATTATACTACATGGGGGTTATATGGGGATAATGACGACAAAGAAAATTGAAACTACTATATAGTATAATGGGGTATTTCATGTGGATTTTCTAGGGATAATGGAAAGAAAATTGAAGCTAATACATAGTATTGGGTGATATAGGGATAATGGATAGGGCTAAGCCTCAAGGGCTTTTTGGCACAAGGGGCTTAGGGTTCTTCTTGCGCATGCACATGCACAAAGCTTCAAGGATCCCTTTTGCAGGTCCTGGATGAGTACTCGCAGAGCCGGGCATCAGTGCGCGTTCCAAGTGCAGTGAAGTTGCCATTCAGTCATGCGAGTCATACGTCATACGCATTGCATCGTGTTGAAGACACACCTCTAATAGGGAATATCCCTCATGAATCCTTGCGCCCGAAATGGATTCTCTGCATGCTAGCACATGCCAGCACAAGAGGCCTCACCTCCCGCGAGCCCGATGTCTTCTGGCCTTATAGGCCTTGGTGCCACGGAGGTCGTTGTCCTAGCTTATCTGGTACGGAATGAGAGTGAACCAGTGGTGATGGATGGCTTTCGCCAAGAACATAAGGTTGATAGTTCTCGTAACCAAAGTAGATTTTGAAGAACCAGTCCGCTCATTCCTTTTGCCTGACCAAGAGCCACTCTGCAAACAGTTCCTCGGCCAAATGCTGACTTATTGATGCAAAGAGAGTCGCACATCAGCATGAACTATTCGTCAGAGCCGCCTTCATGAAACACAGCCATTCATTCCCGAAGCAGAGTCTGCTGCGTTCATGTTCACCGATATTTGCACTGTGTCTGGGGCCTGTGGAAGGTCACCCTGCCACCGGTTTCTCCTGGTGGTGCCACTTCCTCCGCTGGGCTCAGGCCATCAATTTTCAATCGAAGCCATTTGAGATCACACACGTGACTGCAGGTCTCTTCGTTTGTCCGACAAGCGCTCTGCCTCTGAATCACAACTGCGAGGTGGAGGGAGGGACGGTCCTTGCGTGCAACGCGTGAACTTGTCTGCCACGTGTGGTTCCTGGCACCTCTTCGCAGATCTCGTCCACCGCCTGAAGTCAGCTCCCCGCGTCAACCAGGCAGACGAGGAGCCGAAGCCTAGAGGGAATTTGCTTGCAATCCCTGTCCCTTTTGTCTCCGCTAGGAGTTCGCAAGGAAAAGTGCAGAGCTTCACCTCGTCTATCCGAAGATTGAGCGCTGGGCTTGGCACGCATGGCACACCGATTCTACACTTGATTCCGCATCCATAAGACAAAACTGCCACATGTTTGTGTTCTGTGGGCTTTGAGTGCACCCCTATACTCGGCCATCCTTCCCGTTCAGTTGGGCGCGCCCCACATGCTTTAACGGCAAGTCTGCCTTGAGCTGCTCAAGAAGACTAGTTGCGTTCGTGTTCAACCGTTCGGTTTCACCTGTGGAGTGTGTGATTCGCGTCTCAATGTTGCAGTAGTTGTCCTTCCCATGAGAGTCTACGAACCAATTTTGCCATGTCAATGGGCGTGATATTGGAGATTTTGTCAAAGGCTTTCTTGTTCCACCTGCCCAGGGCCAAATGGAGGAAGGAGTTTTTCGAGCAAGAAGCTCAGAAGAAGCTGCAGCAAAATCAACTGGATCTGCAAGCTGGCTTCCATTGCTCAGGGAGCAGCAGCGCCTAGTGCAACGACGGGCAGACATGGCCACGGAGTGCTTCGACCGTGCCTTGGGCGTAAGATTTTGGTCAAGGGTTGCAGTGACTGCATTGCTGGGACGGCACTGTTTGCGGCATGCCACGTAACGGCCAGGCCTCATCATCGAGGATGAGGAGAAGTACGAGGCAGGCAGCGGAAACTCAGAAGTGCATCCCGGATATCCTTATAGGAGGAACACATATCCAGGCAGCGTAGACCTAACAGCTTACGCAATGCTGGGGACCACGTCTTGCATGTCTGTGTTGCAAGGCCACGAAGCTGCGAGAAGCGATGCATCAGCTCTCTATGGAGGACAGCAGCCGGCGATTGGATCCCTGGATGTTGTGGTGCAAAAGCTGGCTCGCGTGACCGTGACAGTTTCTGCTTGCCAGGATGACCCAACGCGCCCCCGGCGTGGCGCCACCCCAGCTGCGGTGCCCTTCTCCATGAGTGGAAGGATGGGACTAGGGTTGCGTCCTTGGCAGTAAGATGCATTTCCTTTCACTTTGCAAGCTCGCGTTGTAGCAAGGTCTGACAAGGCCACATCCAGTCGTGGCTTCGGGTCGACAATGCGCGAAGGGCTTGGGACTACCGCAGCTGACCTTCATTGTAACCTTCTGTCAACAGCCACAACATGCCACAACGGCCACAAGTGAAGAAGTGTTGGAACAGTGCCCTGATGGTACAAACGGTTCAACGCAGGTTCGACCACGTCGCGAGTGAGCCATGCGGATCGGGAGGCTGCATTGCCATGCCTTGCCTGGACAAGCTTGTTCTATAAGCTTTTACGTTATATAAGAAGGTTAGGAGTGCTCCAGCGAGCTTGCCGTTCTTCCAGGAAGCGGCCAGGGATAAGGTGCTCGGCACGAAGCGCGACTTCGAAATTCATCGCACAGAGGCCCTTACATTGCTGTGACACTGCAGCCCAGGTTGAGACAGCCTGAGAGCTTTCAACCCCGTGGCTTTCAAAGGTACTCTCGAAAAGTGTGGAACACGACCGGGCTCTGAAGGACTCCAGACACCGTGCCGTGTGTGCGATTTTGATCACTTTGAGAGGAGTGGGTCCTCGAGCAGCAGGCTGCAATCAAGTGGAGGCAGGGCTACAGGGCATGGGAATTTGTTGGGGCAAGAGCCTTGATCTTCCCCGCAGGATGGCCAGCCGACTCCTAGAGGAACGCCTCCGCTGGCGCCTGAAGTACAACCAGGCCATGGGACTGATCGGGCTTCTGCGGGAACAGGCTCGGCGCAATTGATCCGCCGATTCAGTAACTTCTGCTGAAGCGCTCGGCTCAAGCAATACAAGGACTTTCCCTCTTTTCAACCGCGCGGGCTCCCTTGTGAGCTCCGCTTCTGTGACAGAAATGCTTCGAATCATGGCCAGATGCTTTGCAGGCTCCAGGCTCCCAAGCAGTCCCTTCTCGCAAGCCAAGTGGAGCGGATCATGCAGCTCCCGAGAAAGCCAGGGGATCAAGTTTCAAGCAGGGGGTTTCGGACAATCAGAGCATGAGTGGCAAAATTTGCCAGAGTGCTCATAGACTCATGGGCCCTTAATGACCTCCAGATAGGGCAGAACACTCATCAACACTCTTGTGCTTTGCTTTGTGGCCATCTTTCCTCCCTGGGTCCTTGCATTCCCTGCCCAGCTCTGCTGAGCTCTGCTGCCTCGAGTTGTGGCCTATTGACTGGTGTGGTGGATTTAGTGCGCAGAGCTCCTGGCTGCTCTTCCGGTGCCACTGGCGGCGGTGAATGTGAGTGCGACACGCAGTTCGACGAACCTCTGCAGAAAGACTTTGCATTGATTCCGGGTCTGTCCGCAGGTTGGGCATGAATCCTTTTGTCAGCGACTTCTTTGATTCGGCTTTGCACTGCTTTTTTTGGCTAAGAGTTCAGGCCGGAGCTTTGGACTGCAAGACCGTCTTGGGCTCGCCCGTGGCATGCGGCGGCAAGCCCGCAGGCTACCCCAGAGGTGCCTGAGGAGATCACGGCTGCCGCTTGAGGCTCTTTCTGAAATGCAAGATGTTTTTGAGTTTGTGGTTCCTCAGAGTGGTACGATCGCATCGAGGACACGTCAGAGGTCTTGCGCAGATGCTGCCGAAAATCAAGTGCGTCTGCTAGCAGTCTCACTTTGGAGTTGTTCCAAAATGTGGGCCTGTTTTGGTCGAGTATCTGAACATGGCAGGGAAGATACCAACATGGGAATCCTCAACTGAGCCAGAATCTGGAACTACCTCCATGTTCGTGCCGTGTTCATCGCCTGCAGCATGTGTTAGCTCCCTTAATGTAGACCTGCCCTGTCTTGTGTGCTGTTTCTTAGATTCTTGCAACAGTAAGCTCTGCTCAGGACAGAGTCACTTTTCTGTTGGCAACGCTTGTAAGCTGGACTGTGAATGGTGCTTTCTCATTTTTTTTGGCATCTTGCAGCCTAAGATGCTGTGTATCTGACAGGTTCTCTCAGGCAACGAGGAGCGTGAGAGGCAGAAGTTGGACTTCTTTGAGCGGCGGCAGGAACAACAGCGTGCGGGGCCATTTTGGGAAATGTGTAGTCCAGTTGAGTGAAGCTCCATTTAGGGCGTCCTGCATGCTGTTGCGAGTTGGAGACACAGGGCGGATCAGAAGTTGGAATTACTTTTCGGTGGGTGCTTGCCATGTGTAATTTCCACGCTTTCTCTTTACCAGAAACCTTTCGTGATCATTCTGTGGGGTTTCGTAGTCTTTGGGACATTTCAACTGCGAGTGGTCCGGCAGCCTGAGGCCAGCAGAGGGCACGCTGCGACGACTCCAGTGAAATCCGCAAGGAGAGAATGGCGATATCGTTGTCCAGCGATTCTCATGCCTTGGTCACAGGTATCGACCAATCTCAAGCTTAGAATCCCACTGAAGGCCCAAACTGCCATCTGATGTCCACGTCCCATCAATAAGCGATCAGTGCCACTACTTGACGGCAGACACTCAACACTCAACCTGATACTACTCTGTAGAGCACAAAGGGGTCTCTGTGCAGACCAGCAGCGTCCAGTTGTGAGATATCCATCAGTCTTACAACTGCGTTCACTGCGGTTGCCCTGGTCTGTGGCTTTCTTCATGTTTGTTTCCCGCTGTCATTCAGTCCTGTCAGCAAGTGCCTGAGACAACGTCTCGACAGTCTTTCTTGAGATCATTGTGAGGCTGTGAGGTTGGGATTTACTTGTGAAGTCTGCGCTTGGATGTCTTGCTTGGTTATGCAACCTTTGAGAGGAGATACGTCATTTGCGAGATGTGGGCCGGAAGTTGAACCAGGCATGACACGTACAGGTGGCATCATGTGCCCAACGATGCAAGAACGTGTGGATGCTTGCCAGCGGTTGTTCAGAGTTGGCGTCATAACTAAATTTCAGCTGCCTTGTCTGCTGAATCAAGACTGCAAGGCCCAGCGAGAGCGGAAGGAAGCCTGGAGGCAAGCCAAAAAGAAGTGCTGAACTCAGGGAGATGCTGACACCATGGAAGATCTCAAAATCACAGGCCTGAAGATCAAGCCCTGATTCATGCTGAAATGCTATCATGCACAGCATTTAACACGCATCCTGCCACGCGTATTTCGTGATTGCAAGTGACATGCTATGGTGCTGGCAGCATTTCTGAGCGCAAGTAGCTTACAAAAAAGGGGTGACCTTTTTGAGCGCAATAAGTGGTTTGCAATGATAACTTTCGCAACAAATGGGCTTCACAAGATCCCTGGTTACAACGGCCAGTTAGTGTTGCTAAGGCGTGAGAGCTTGGAGAAGCACTTTGCTCACGTGGGACTCAAGATGCCTCCGCCCCTTTCACCACATTCGGTTGGAATTGCCAGATGAGTCATGCCTGTCAGCTGCAACTGAGCAAGATCTGCCAAGCCATAGTTATTGGGGGATATGCAAAGAGATGCAAAGAAACTTTGGACAGCTCGGGCACTACGAAGGCATTGAAAGCAGGCATCCAAAGGATGCCCTGCTCATCCTCGCAAAAGCGAGCCATGTAGCAGCATTAGTGTGTTGGCACAGAAAGTTAAACATACCGCTTCACATCTTCCGCAAGGGGATTGGATCTTTGCGCTTGGGTGCCGCTCTTTCTCGATCCTCTTTGAAGCTCTTCGCAGATAGATGCTTCACTCCATTACAGAGCCTCCTCAAGGCTCGAGAGCCAAAGTTAAGGGCTCGGGGGGGCTGGGCGCCATGGCGCACA